GATCACACCTCTAATGAGGTGGCAAACAATACTAACCAATCAACTTTTTTCAAACTCTTCTCCCCTTTCAAAATTATTTGCTATCTCATTAAAGGTATAATTAGAGGTGATGAAATAGGAAAATATAGCAAATTCTTATTACTAAAACAAATGCCATGAATGCATACATAGTGCCATTTTGGGAACATGGTAAAAAGCCACGTTTTTGGTGCCAAAAACGTCAGAAAAGCCATTTGGCAAGTGCCAAAAACGCAGTTGTAAAATTACAAATTAGGGCCTATGAAAAAAAATTAAAAAAATAAATCTTTTATGTTGGGTAAGGGTATTTTGGTCATTTTAATTTGATTTGACACCATAAATAAATATTAAACTAAAAAGCAAAAAGCCAGCTTTTTACCAACTTTCCAAATCACTTCCAAAAAAGTCAAAAAACTTGGTAAAAAGCCAAAAGTCAGCTTTTTACCAACTTCCCAAAACAAGATATCAATGCAAAATTCATGATTTTTTCACTTAGGTCAAATATGTATACGAAGCACCTTACAATATGTACGATAGTTCACTACAAAAAATTAAGATTTTAGATACCAAAATTTAGAGATAAAATTATTTTTTAAGAATCAAATATTTTTATTGTGAAAAGTGTCATCATTATATTTTTAGCAATGAAAATTGGACATTGGTGATGAGATATTATCATTTTAGGACCAAATTTTTTGTCTCAAAAAATAAACCAATTTGAGACCAAATTATTTTATTCCTAAAAGTCTATTTATTAGTGACATTTTCAAAATTTTGTCGCTAAAAGCCTTAGTTTTGACTTTTCGGGGATGACCGTTTAGCGACTATCCTTACGACGATAAAAATTGGTCCCTAAATATCTTTTATAACAAAATTTTTACTTTTGAAGACCAAAAAATTTGGTCTCTAAAACTCTTATATATTGTAGTGATTGTCATGCATTTAGCAATTTGTGCACAATTTTAAAACTAGGTTTCCTGTAACTATAATATGATGATAACCATAATTTTTTGTACAACAGTTCATTGATTACCTAATGTGACACACTCTCACAGTCATTAATATAATCATCTCATGTAAATCTCATAAATATTCAATTAATATGATTACGTTGCATTACATAATGAATAAAGGAACTGTTGGGCCTTCGCGGGTCCATTACGGATCCATCTTGATAATTTGAATCATTCATATCGTAAAGTCTATTAATTAAAAAAATTAGTTTGATCAAACATTTATAGTCACATAATCAAATCACACTTATTATTAAAATAAAAAAGAAAAAAAGAAAAGGCGATAAGGGTAATTTTTAAGTATAGACCGTCAATTATTTTGAAGAAATGTAATATGATTAATATTATGCTTTTATTGTTGTCCGATCAATCTGATTTTTTCATTAACAATTTGCTCAAAATACTACAATATAAATAGCTTGAATCATTAACAATACCTACAGTAAAAAAAAATTGATAAATGTAGCATTACTATATAATATGGAATTTTGTAACAGCTCCTACTGCCCCAACTAAGTAGCAAGATACCAAATATTCTAATCATTCAAAATCTACAAGTAAGGTTATTTCTTTAGGAAACTACTACTATATCTTCTGGGGAATTTAAATATTTTTTCCAATTAAACTGTGTATAGGAATTTTCTGTATATTTTCAACTAAATTGTATCGTGTTTGAATTTTCAATAATTTTAACACATAATCACTTGATATGTTGTCACTTAATATAACTATCAAGACACGTAGCATTTATGTGTGCGCCTACTTCTAGTGTGAACATATATAAAAATGAATGAAAAATGCAATTTGGTAAATTAGAAATTACCATAGTTGCTATATCCAATGCTATTATCAATCCTACAAATCCTATGCTCAGAATTCCAACCAATATCAACGTTATCACCTGTAAAAAAACCCACTAATTAATCTTACAAGTTACAACATCATAATTTTATAATTTTAGTTACTATTAACAAATTCTTAATGATGACAAATTAAGGGTGTGTTTGGGATTGACTTTTTTTTTTTTTTTTTTTGGGGGCTTTTTTTTTTTTTTTTTTTTTTTTTTTTTTTTGGGTCTTTTTTAGTAAACTTTTTTTTTTTTTTTAAATTTTCAAAAAGTTTTATGCTTTTAGATTCTTCTTGACTAGAGAAAGAAAAAAAGTAAAACAAAATAAACAAAAAAACAAAGTTTTTTTTTTTAAACTTTTCTTTGACTTTCAACTTTTTTAGTTTTTAGTTTTTTTTTTTTAAATTGCTTTTTCGATCATTCTACAATAGATGGATATAAATAAATAAATAAATAAATTGACACACTTGAAAAAAATTACTGAAGTAAAAAAAAATTAAAAAAAATATGATTTTTTTACCCTAAGTATGTTGGGCTCGATCAGTTGGACCTCTAAAACTTCTGCCATCCACACACAATAATAAAATGGAATAGATGCTTTCCCACCCACAATGGAATAGGTGCATTTAGTGATTCTATTTTTTCTTTTTTAAATGGTGCAACAAAATCTACATTCAAATGTGACACGATAATGTGACTTTTTTTGTGCCATGGGAACATGCTTTCTATTTTGGCCAAAGTTACTTTATCTCGAAATCTCTCTATCCCAGCCCAAAACAGCCACATTCAATGAATTATTGAAAATATCGGCATACCATAATCTCAAGACACAATTCATAAATAAATGTGAATGTTCTTGATTGGGACAAAGGGATAATGATATTTGAAAATAGAGAATCTCACTCCTTCTATTGTTTACCCCCAAGAAGTATAATATCCCCCCCCCCCCCCAAAAAAAAAAAAAAAAACACTCCCAAAAGATTAGTGTGTGTGTGTGTGTGAGAGAGAGAGAGAGAGAGTAATTAGGCATACCATTTTATTCTTGGGAGCATAGATTAGATAGAGAATGACATAGATGGACACCAAGGCCATTTACAGTAATAAGAAGCAAACCATTTGGGTCTGTAGCTCCATAAAATGTCCATAAACTCTTGCACAATAGTGTTGTTATGTATGGTAGCACATCATAGTTTTCCACCGACTTCTTCTTCTACACTTTCTGAAATGTTCTCCTAAACTTAAACACCCCCATTCATTATTTTCACACTATCATTTAATAACAACAACACACATTAATTGCTTTATGTTTATTGATATTTGCAATAGTTTAAGGTTTTTGATTCGAATCCCGCCTTTGAAAAACACCACATAGAAACTAGGAAATATAAATGTAATTGTTAATATCATAATAACATAGTATTTGAATTGCCAAAAGAAAAAAGAAAAAAGAAAAAATGAAGCATAGTACTTTGCATTCCAAAAAATAATTTTATGAAAAAAATGGTATTTAATAATTAGAACAAATGCTACCAATTAGCAGGAAAACATAAGTGAGAGAGAGAGAGAGAGAGAGAGAGAGTGTGGGAGATCTGCAACCACTCGAAGGTAATGGAGGTTGGATTCCGATTGTGAAGCAGTGGTGAGGAGGTGGAGCACAGGGTAAAGAAGTAAAGCAGGGCCTCCATACTGTATTTGTGGACAATCTTCCAAGTTCTATGGATGCTAAATCCCTGTTCAAGCTCTTCATAAAGTTTAGCATAGTGAAAAATGTCTTTAATCCCTATAAAAATAAGGAGAGTGTCAAAATCAGGATTTGGTTTTGTGAGGTTTGACTGTCATGTAGCATCAGATATTGCTATTCAGAAAGCAAATGATCTTTTGGTGGACGACAAGGCTCTCGAAGTCAAAAATGCTACTTATGACAGGAGCAATAGGGATGTGCACAGCAAGAGACGGCCCCAGAACTTCAGAGAAGCATTTGAACCAACCAAAAGCAGGGGTCACGTACCATATGTTAGCCACAGATCGTTCGCAGAGGTTTTAAAAAGAGGCACAGTCATTGAAGCTGGAAAAGCAAGTACGACCATCAAAGTAGATGAAGATGGTTATGGCTGGCTCTATGAAAGTGCTATAATCAGACTCAATTTGGAATACTTCACTAGGAACATCAAAGAGGCCCTGAATGAAAATGGGATAGTGCATGTTGTAGTCAGAAAGGGGAGAGGCCGTGATATAGTTTTGACTTTTAAATCCCAAGAAGAGTTGAAATAAAACATCCACAATATTAAGGAATGGTTTAAAGATTGGAGTCAGTTTGTGTTGGAATGAGAGCCAGGAGTCCAAATCCAACAGGAGAGATGTGTGTGGTTAAGGTGCCATGGCATACCCTTAAACCTCTGGAATAAGAACACACTCAACAACAGTGGAGGCTTGTGGGGATTAGTTCTTCACTTAGAGCGTGATGTTTGTCAACCAAAGTCCTTTTCCTACTCCAGAATCAAAGTGGTTACATCTTGCATGGAGTTCATCTCCACAACTATAAACCTGGAGTGCAAGGGTAAACTCCACCCTATCCTCGTGTATGAAGATCATCTTGGCAACCCAGTAGAGTCTACTAGAAAAACACACATTGGGAAGGATGATTGCAGCTCCAGCGTAGGCTTCTGCAAGGTGAAGGATTCTAATTTTATAGAGAAATGTTACAAAGAGAAGGAAGATGATGTTGAGGTGGTGGCAAAGGGGTATGACTTATCTGGTGCTACAGTGGCTTGTTCCAATGAGGCGGCACAAAGGAAGGGACTCACACAGCGCTATAGTGGAGAAAATGTGGATACAGTTGTTGAGGACACTATGGCCATGTTTGTTTGGGCGGACTAGATTAGCATTCTCATGACTAATAGTCCTAGGATTACGAATCCATTGGATTATGTATCCTATCTTAACTAATAGTCAAGTTTAAAATAATTAGTCCGTACTTCAATTGTTTAACCAAATATCGGATTAATAATTTTATTGGACTATTAGTCCAATCCCAAGCTCATGTCCACCCAAACAAACATGGCCTATGTGTGATGTGGGGCTCAGCAGTGCTAGTGTAGTAGGTGTGAAAGAAGTAATGATGGAGGAGCTAGTACCTTACCCAAAAAAGCTATGTTGTCCCCCAGAGGCGTGTTGAGCAAGTTTTATCACCTGGCTTTATCAAAAGTCTTAGTGGACCTAAAGATGGTCTTGGGCCTGGCATTAATATTGAGGTGGACATGGCCCACTCACATGGTAAGCATTTACTTCAAGACCCTATTATCATGCCATCTGATCCACTTGATATCAGGCCTAGCAGTACTAACACATTGCCTAGGTGCCACCCTTTTGTGCTCTCTACCTTTGCTGGCCCATATGATAATGTTGGTTCAACTAGGTTGGGCATCCTGGGTTTACAGGAGCAAGGCCATGGTAGACCACCTGCTTTCACCCTTAATCCCCTGTGGAATGTCAAGAAATCAGGAAAAAAGAAGGCTCAGATGGAGGGCTTCTCCCGTTTTGCTAGGCTTTATGGTCACAAAGCTGCAGCAATTAGTAAACACACCTCCAGGTCTGTTATCTTCAAACTAGCAGTAGTTGCTCTTGCAAACTTAGATCTCTCTGAGGGTGACCCAAGTTCGAATAGCTATCTCCTTAAAGAAGCTAAAGCAACTATTAATTTGGGGGAAAAACTTGGTATAAATTTTAAGGGTAAAGAAGTTGCTGTGCTGGATAAGATTATTGACCTAGAGTTGAAGGATAAAGAGAGAATCAACAAGGATGGTAAGGTGAAACTGTAATAACAATAGCTGGGGGGACTTACAGTGTATCTATTTTTTTCTATGAAGCTTCTTTTTTGGAATGTTAGAGGTATTGGTAGGCCTGAAGAGGGGCAGAATCAAAAGACTTCTAAGAGATAGGCACATTGATATTGCATTCCTTCAAGAAACTAAGAAAGTAGTGGTTTCAGAGACTGCAGTTAGAGGGCTCTGGGGAAATAGGAAAATGGAGTTTATGTTTGTGGATCCTGATGACTCTACAGGAGGGCTTCTTTGTATCTGGGACCCAGAAGTTTTCCAACTCTCTGGCAGCTGCTATAACAGGAGGTTCATTCTCCTCTCAGGTACACTCTACAACTCTTTTGTTTGTGTTCTTCTTAATGTTTATGCACCTAATGATGTCAGCCACCAGTCCATCCTTTGGAATTCTCTAATCAAGCTCAAGGATTCATTCCCTAGTCCCTGGTGCTTGAGAGGTGATCTCAACGAAATAAGGCACATAAGTGAGAGAGTAGGTTATTCCAGAAGGGATAAGGGAATGAATCAACTTAATGAATTTATAGACAAATGTGAATTGAATAACCTCCCCATTTTTTGGAGAACATACACTTGGTGTAATTCTCAGGAGGCCTAGAAATGGGGCAGAATAGATAAAATCATGTTTAGCCCAGAATAGTTGATCCACTTCAAAATGAAGCTTTGGGGCTACCTGGGCTAATATCATATCACTGCCCTCTATTGATAATGGAGGATGAAAGAGATAGGGGCTCCAAACAATTTCGGTTTATCAATGCTTGGACTTTGCACTCTAACTTTTCTAATCTTTTCATTTCTTGTTGGGAGAACTTTACTTTTACTGGTTGGGTAGGTCTTATACTCCAGCAAAAACTGAAGTACCTAAAGTTGGAATTAAAGAGATGGAATACTGAAGTGTTTGGCAATGTCTCAGCTAAACTCAAGGCTTCAAAGGAGGAATTGCATGCACTAGACATCACTGTAGAGGAAAGAGTACTGCTTTACTCAGAAAAGGCTAGAAGAAGAGAGGTTAGAGGTGAAGTATAGAAACTTTATAGAAGGGTGGAATGGCTATGGCATCAACAATCCAGACTGAATTGGTCACTGCATAGGGACAAAAATACTAGATTCTTTCATGCTATTGCAAGCACCAGACAAAATAGGAACATGATCAATTCCATCTCAGTTCATGGTGTGTCTATGGAATATCCTAGTAGAGTTAAACATGAGGTTTCCTTCACTTCAGGAAACAATTCAAGGAAAGTTGGGTCAATAGGCCTGTTCTGGGAGGGGGGTTCATATCAATTGAGGACAACTCTATCTCTCACCATCTTGTATCAGGTTTCACTAAAGCAGAGTTATTGGTTGCCATTAAAGAGAGTAATAGTAACAAAGCTCCGAGCACATATGGGTTTAACCTGTTGTGCTATCAGAAATTTTGGAAAGTCATGAAGTAGGAGATCATGCAATTCTTTAAATATTTTCATAATCACAGCAGGCTCACTTATGGAATCAATAGCTCTTTCATTACACTCATTCCCAAGTTAGATAATCCCATTAATCTGACGGACTACAGACCTATTAGCTTGGTGGGCTCTCTCTACAAAATTTTAGCAAAAGTTCTAACACACAGATTGAAGTCAATGATGTCTTCACTTATTGGTGACACCCAAACTACTTTTGTAGGGGGAAGAAATGTCCTAGATGTGGTGTCTATTGCTAATGAAGTTGTTGATGGATGGAAGAAGGCCAAGCAACAAGGGTTGATTATCAAGTTGGACTTTGAGAAAGATTTTGATTCAATGAACTGGGGTTTTTTGTTCTCCATGATGACCAGCTTTGGTCTCGGGGCTAAATGGGTCTCTTGGATGAAATCTTGCATGTCTACGCCCAAAATTTCCATCATCGTGAATGGATCACCAACTAACGAGTTCTCACTACAAAGAGGCCTCAAGCAAGGTGACCCATTGTCTCCATTCCTTTTCAATATAGTGGCTGAGGGGCTTGACATTCTCCTAAACAGAGCACTGAATCTTGGTAGCCTTAATGGTGTATTGGTTGCGGTTAATGAGGTTCTTATATCGCATCTTCAATTTGCTGATGATTCAATACTCTTCTGTGAGGCTGATATGGACCAGGTGATAATTATCGAAAGAATTCTTAGATGTTTTGAAGTTCTATCTAGTCTTAGAATCAATTACCATAAGAGTGTTGTATGTGGTGTTGGTGTGGCTGATGTGTCCATGCTTGCCTTTGCAAAACTTTTGAATTGCAAGGTGCTAAGCTTGTCGTTGAAATTTTGGGGGCTACCTTTAGGTGCTAACCCTAGTAGAAAATCAACCTGGAAACCTATGTTTGACAATATTAGACTTAGACTCTTAGGTTGGATGAGGAAAATGTTGTCCTTTGCAGGAAGGTTAACCTTGATCAAGTCAGTCCTCTCAAGTCTACGTGTGTACTATCTTTCCCTCTTTAAGATGCCTGAAGGCGTGGCTCATGAAGTTGAAAAAATTTAGGCTGCTTTCTTGTGGAGTAGAAATGACCTAAAAAGAAAAGTACATCTAGTGAAATGGCTAGAGGTTACAAAGAGTGCAGCTCAAGGGGGCCTGGGCATTAGAAGGATTAGGGATGTTAATGCATGTTTGCTTCTCAAATGGTGGTGGAAATTTGGAAATCAAACTAATGCACTTTGGAGGAAAGTCATCTGCAGTAAATACAAGATTGAGGTTGAGTCTTGGCATCCTCCTATGCAATCTTCTTACAAGCATTCCAGGGTATGGAAGGACATTATCTCCATGGGGGTTCATAGTTCGAACATTTTTCACTTCTTCTTGGATAGCTGCCAAATAAAGGTAGGGGATGGAAATTGAATCAGATTTTGGCAAGACAAGTGGTGTGGATCCACCTATCTCAAGGATGAGTTCCCTTCTCTCTTCAATCTTTATGCTGATTAGTTCGGATCTCTTTACTACTTTTATGCTAGGAAAACCAGCTCTAGTGATTGGAACTTTCTTTATAGAAAAGTGTTGTCTTCTTGGAAATTGGCTGCTAAAGCTAGGTTGATTGTTCTGTTATCCTATGCTCCTCAATTGAGCCAAGGCATGCTGACAGTCTAGTTGGCCATCTGTAGCCACAAGTTCAAGTGATTTCTCTGTGTCTTCTCTATACTCTCTTTGTAACTCTCTTCTTAGGCCTAATCTCAACATTAGCAAGTTTGTCTGGAGTAGTATCTTACCCCCACCCCCCCCCCCCCCTGTATTTGCTTATTAAAAATTGGTTTAAAGATATCGGTTTATTTTGTGGTTGAATGGAGTGCTGTGATAATACATGCCATTCTTGGCAACAATGTCTTCCCCTTATGCATTTTCTGCAAATTAGCTCCTGAATCTACTTCTCATGTACTGCTACATTGCCCATTCTCCTGGAATATTTGGTCATCAGTGTTACATGATTGGGGGCTTCAATGATGTATTCCAGAATCTATGGCAGGCTTATTCAATTGGTGGATGGGTGGTAAATTCAAGTGTCTACTCGTAAAAATTTGGAGAGCGATTCCACTTATAGTTCTCTGGTCTCTCTGGAAGCATAAAAATGAGTGTATCTTTACTGATGCCCATCCTAATTCTACTGACTTGTGGGAACTCATCAAGAGCAGATTAGCTCTTTGGCTCAAAGCTTCTATTAAGGACTTCCCATTCTCAGTTGATGATGTTGTTCTCAATTGGAGGCAAATCAGGCTTTGCTATTGAGGTTACATTGTGCCTGGGTTCGTAGGAGCACCGCCAACAGCCTTCAATGGTTTGGTTTATCAGCAGCAACTTTCACCTTCCTTTGGTTTGAGCAGCACTGGTCTCTCTGCTTTTCCTGTTGTTTTTGTTGTTTTGTTTTTGTTTTGCTTTCTTTGGCTGTTCTTGATTGGATTCTCTCCAATCATGGGTCAAGTGCTACCGTTTTGCACTTCCCTGCTTCGTTGATGTAAGTTTGCATGTTTCGTGAAAATCCCCTAGAATTTAGATTAGTCTCCTAAATACATTTCAAATTACAACGCAAACCTTGCATGTAACATAGGTTCAAATGGTATTAAAAACTTAAAATTACACAAGTAATACTACAATCATTATGTTTACATCTATGTAATTTGTTATCATTGTATCGGTGCCAAAAAAAAAAAAAAAAGAAAATATGGTCATTTTAATGTTACTATCAAATTATATATGTAGCTATTTAATGACCCAAAAATTCCATCATGTACTGTTTCTAATTTTTCATTGTTCTTAGCATTTTTTTTAGAGCACTCTGGCCAAAGATCTATTTTTGAAACTCTTGAGCCAATAGGCTAAAGTTTAAATCTTTTTGAACATAGTGATATTATTTTTCCAAAAAGATACCTATATGTTCAAAGCTTTCCTATTTGTTTATTTGTTCAAATATCATCTATTTGTACACGTATCACATGTGGACAACTATTTGTTCAAATGTCTCACTATTTGTATATGTGTCACACATCTGTGGAATTATCTGTTCAAATGTCTTACTATTTGTAAACATGTCACCAATCTATTCACTTATTTATCTACCTCACTGCTACTAACTGTCATAGTTATCTACTGCCGACTTTTTGGATGACTTTCTAACGCGTGTCCTTATTACGATAAAGATTAAATCTTTGACTAATTAACATATGGCTGCATAGTAATGGACTTTTCACCAATTAACTTTTGTTTTAATGATTTTTTATTTTATTTTTTGGCTTTAATAAGTGAAATCCTATATATGTACACAAAAGCCTAAGAAGCAACCATGTCATTGAACTTGTTGATGGACCCAAACATGCTGAACACTATTTTAAACATTCAGTTGTTACCAAGGTAGAGTTCTAGAGTTGGACACCCAATAACAAAAACATTGAAGTTTAACACACATTGTCATGCCTTTTTGTCCAAGAGGAAAAAAATTATAAATTAAATTGAAAACTAAAAGCTATCCACTTCATGTCTGCATGAGTCTAATATTATACATAGTCATGCTTTTTTGTTGTTAATTTTGCATCATAGAAAATTATTCAATAATCTCAAAATATCATGTGGCATTTGTTAGGTAGCAAAAAAGGGTGAAACACTACTAACTCAGTTATGGCGCATGTACCAAGGAGGTAAAACAGAGGGAAGGGCCTATTGACTGTCACACGGGAGAGGAGTCAGCGGAAACTTTGATGGAGGAGTCAATGCATAGCCCAAAAAATCAGGTGCAAGTCTCTACACCTGGATTTACCAGAAACCTTAGTGGATCTAGAGATAGACTTGGGATGGCATCAATCTTGAAGTAGATTTGGCCCATGAGACATGACGGGTTAGTATTACTTTTGATGCTTTTACTTTCATAGTATTTCATCATATTCGTTTTTCCAGCCTCTCTATTACACTTGCTGGAGTTTGTTGTATTTGCTTATTAAAAATTGGTTTAAAGATATCGGTTTATTTTGTGGTTGAATGGAGTGCTGTGATAATACATGCCGTATTCTGTTTTCTATTTTCATTTTTCAAAAAACACAATTTGTTTGGTGTTACTATTTTGAAAAATTCATATAGAAGCCATGTTCAAGGCAAGATAAGAATTGCCACCAAATGTATGGAATCTGTGGGGATATATTTTCTAAGTACCAACACGTGGCAAGGTGACGCCGACGTGTCAGCCGAGGTGCCACGTGTCTTGGTCGTTGTGCCGAGGTCATCTCGGCTAGGCCGAGGTTTCCTCCGAAGATATCGGAATCCGAGATAAGCGAATAAGGGGCAAGAGTCCTAGAATGAAGAGGGAACTCAACTTGGATAAGAACAAGAGTCCTAGATTGGGAGAAGACTTCAGTTTGGGTAAAGATAAGACTCTTAGAGAGTTAATCCTAATCCCACTAGGAGTCCCAGATTAACAGTAATCCTAAGTCCGTTAGGGCCAGGCTCCTTTTAGGACTAGGATTGTGTTGGCTATAAAAGAGAGGCACCCGCATGGGTCTAAGGTATGCTTTTGATACTCAAGCTTGTGAGTTTAGTACTTGATTATCTTTGAGAGATATACTGACTTGATGTCGGAGTGCCCCCGGGTGGTCGAAACCACCGCGGGATTCTTATATTTTTGTTACAGGTCAGTTAGGGGCCATCTATTCTACCAGTGCTCTCCAGCTGGTTACTAAGCGAGCAGTGTGGTCGGAAAATCACCCACACAATTTGGCGCCGTCTGTGGGAAAGAAAGAAGAATAGATGGCCAATGACGAACAAAAGGATCAGATTAGAGACAATGCTCCTGTTGGGAGTCGGAGACCTATCGATCTCGACGTTGAATGGGACAATAGCAACACAGAAACTCGTGACCAGAGTCACGGAGTGAAAGGAGCCGACCAGGAAGGTGAAGCACCAAAGACAACAGATCGAAGCAACAAAGAAGACCTCCGGGTATGGAGGGATGGATACCTGCGGAGGAACGAAGACCCTTCCAGAAGGGATGCAAAGACAGGGGGCATGAATGCTCCCAAGGAGATGACATTCAAGTATAGAAGAGCTCGGCCCAAGTGAGCAGATCCTAGATCCTGGATCCCGAATCCCAGAAGGCATGATCTCGGCCTAGATGAGTAGGTCCGAGAAGAGAAGAGTTCAACCTGAGAAAGCAAATCCAAGATTCCAGCAGACAAGACCTCGGCACTTGAGTCCGAGAAGAGAAGAGCACAATGAGCAGATCTCAGATCCCAGAAGATAAAAAGTAGGCCGAAAACCCGAAAGGGCGACCTAGGCAAAAGTTAGAGCACAAAAAATTAGAAAATATAAAAACTGAGCTCGCAAGGCTGAAACCCGCAAAGGGCGGCTTTGGCAAAAGTTAGAGCGCAAAAGGAGAGTGAAAATACTCGAGTGAACCTAAGCCTGAACTACGTAAGGCTTGATTCCCATCTGTGGGATACGTAGGCAGCTTCATCCTGAAGTTCAGCCATAACACTTCCCCAATCAACTTTGTCCATTCGATCGTCTCGGCCATCTTTGTCTATTCAGCATTCAAGGGTTCGGTTATGATCTCCAGTGCGGTGCTCTTCAGACTAGGGGCAACTTTCCGTTGCCGTGCAGTGCTGCAGTGCTCTTCAGACTAGGGGCAACTTTCCAGTTGCAGGGATCTGGGGCTGTGCATCTCAGTGACAGATTTCAGGCGTGTCTAGTTCTGATCCACATCGAAAATGTTTTTGAGAAGTTTTAATAAAAGCTGACTTTGTTCAAATAATCGTTTTACAACTTTGACCATTTTTGGACCAAAGCGGAAAATTTTCAGTACCACAACCTTCAATTTAATTGATTTCAAAACAGAGTTCTCCTGCTTTTGCATACAATCGAAGTTGCTTTTTATTACGTTCATAAAGAAAACTTGAAAGTACTAATAAAGCAATAAATCTGGGGCATAGTCAAGTCAGGTGCTCCTGCGCCCCCTCCCAGAGCTGGTCGAAACTTCTAGCGCTAAGCTGGGCCCAATCTGTGCTTCTTCGTTGAGCCAATCCACGCACTCGTCAGACAAAGTGCAACTGAAAGTGGGAGCAGGGGCCAGGAGTTCTCTCATCCTCCACGCAGTGGCCTGCCAAGCAAGTTGTGCGCCTCGGGCTGGGAATGCAGCAGGATACTCTATCCCCTCTGGCAGGCAGGTCTGATCATGGCCAAATTGGCGTCGAATTCGAAATGGGAAGTAGAATACACAATGAGTGAGGCCAACCAATTGAATCCCGGTCTACCGGGGCATATTGTAACTCATTGCCGGAAGGCTCAGCCAAAGGCACCGCCAAGCAATACGGTCTGCGGACAAGCAGCACATCCAAGCGAACCACCATCCCTCATCCAGGGCATTGACTAGACGGTGCCGAAAGAAGTAGCCACGAGCTGAATATGCTGGGCAAGAGTCCACAACCTGCAGTTTGTCCATCAACCATACCTGGGAAGGGATGAAAAATGAGAGAATAAAGAATAGAGAGATGTACGATGAGAGAAAAGAGAGAATAGGGTTTTGTGAGAAAAGACCGAGATTGAGGGCCGAGTGATGTGAGCAATGCATAATGTGAGGTTGGGTGGGAAACATTACCTGTAGTAGTAGTGGACTCCCTGCTAATCTGGCCGTCTCATGATGATAAAAGGCGTCTAAACCCATTAACGTCTCAGCTAGAGTCATGGCAATACAGCTCTTGCCCTCCTTCAAGCCTTGAGCAACCTCAATCAGCCGGACACTAGACCCTCCAGAGCCTGAGACGAATAGAAAATGGGATAGCATGCACAAACAGAGGGCATGTAGCCGGAAGCCTTGCCAGTGATGGTTGTTGCGATCACCAGCATCAGAAAACCGATCGGTCAAACTCGGAATGTCCAACATCCCGTCACAAATCAGAAACCGAGCGTCACGCATGCTGAGTCCACACATTCGCCCTAAGGATTGGGCATGGCTAAAATTAAGTTGGGGCAAGAGCTCTTCGTCACGCTCGGACTCCATTAAGGCTCGGAAATCTTCAAAGGTAGGACATATCTCTTGCCTAGCAAAGCTAAAGACATGCGTCACCGGATTCCAAAACCTTGCCGCAGCTTGAAGAAACGGGAGGTGCAACGGGGTACGACCCAGAGTGAATAGTGCATTTATGCCGAAACCCCGGAAATTCAACTTTTCCGAGCCATCCAAGCTAGCAATCCAAGCTGCGAGATTTTGGGCAAGAAACTCTTCCATCAGAGCAAATCAGTGTGGAATTGAGAAAAACTACGAAGCTGGGGTCTTTTGTAGGGGATAAGGTTGGGTGGAGGACAGGTGTCAACATTCTGGTGATTCCCTCATTCATAGCCGGCCGGCCGAATATCCTGCCGACCGACCATTATCTTTTGCCGACCGAACAAATTTTTGGCCGATGGCCATTCCTTATGGCCAATGGCCTCTACCCCTGGCCGATGGGCTTCCTCTTGGTTCCCTGAGCTGTTTATGCTAGGGATTGGGGAACTCCACCACCTCCGATCCCTCCCCCGGTGATCGATTCTTACGGAGTCACACCTGTCTGCTTATCGAGTTATTGTACGTTTGCTTATCGAGTTATATTTCACTCTCTTTGAGTTTTTGATTTTTTTATCGAGTTGTACTCGCACTTGTTTGGTCATATCATGCCTTTGTACATTTGCTTATCGAGTTGTAAGTCGGTTCACTACCTGATTATTACGGTGCGAATACTCAGTGTTCAAAATAAGTTCAATTTCGTTCACATTGTGGTGTGATACCTTGTGATGCGATGCATAGAAAGTTTACAAATACAACATCTTTTGAACAAAATGGTTGTTTCATTCCCGTCACGTGCTTTGCAAAATGTGTAATTTTGAGAAAGAACAAAACCTGCCCGAGGCAGTGCAATGTGCTTAAACTACCAGTAAAAAGGGAAGTAAAACATAAAATGACAGGGTAGCAAAGCGTCGGAATGGATACCAGCAAAACTCCCCTTGTGGTCAACGCACCTTCCATGCCTTTGTTCGGGTCAACGACATGGTTTGGCACCTTCATTACTTGAGACCATGCGGGGAAGCGCACTTTTGAAACGCGGACCTTCGAGTTGACCTCAGGCCACAACCTCTGCGAATGATGCTCGATACGTACGAAGAACGTCCCTTCCCGTATCCTTTTCATGCCTCGAGGATTCCCACAAACCGCTTCAACTACGTTGTGTTACAGTATTTTACCTCCCCTTGCATTATGAATGATATTTTCTCACTCACATGTGTTCAAGTTTCTCTTTATACACTTTACTTGCGTAGACCGCATGTTAATTACATTACCTGCGTAGACCGCATGTTTGTAATCAATTTCATTACTTGCGTAGACCGCATGTCTAACTCCTATCCCAAACGCGATGCAAATGAGATGGCATACACAATGCGATTAACATACAACCTAGCATACGCAATACTATGAAATGGCATAATGGGGTGTCTACAAGATAGTAATCCTAAGTCCATTAGGGCCAGGCTCCTTTTGGGACTAGGATTGTGTTGGCTATAAAAGAGAGGCACCCCCATGGGTCTAAGGTATGCTTTTGATACTCAAGCTTGTGAGTTTAGTACTTGATTATCTTTGAGAGATATACTGACTTGATCGTCGGAGTGCCCCCGGGTGGTCGAAACCACCGCGGGATTCTTATATTTTTGTTACAGGTCAGTCAGGGGCCATCTATTCTGCCAGTGCTCTCTAGCTGGTTACTAAGCGGGCAGTATGGTCGGAAAATCACCCACACAGAATCTATCAATAAAAACAGTGAAGCTAGAATGTAATAGAACCTTATCTCCAGTGAAGGTGTGTGAGGAGCATATCATTACCAATGTGGTGATGAGTAAGATGTGTAACTGCCAGAAGAAGCATGAAGCAGCCGAGCTAGTTAGTTCAGACGATGAAGCTCCTGATCAGCGAACAGAACATGGGGGCAATCTGGAAGAGGATGATGAAGATAACGTGGATGTCCAACGAGTTGAGGTATTGGACAAAATGAGTGAAATGGCCATTGATGATAGGAGAAAAGAACACGAAGGCAAAGCTGACATGAACAAAAAAAATAAAGATCATGAAGAGAGTGATGACATGGACGATATAGATAAAGAGGCAAATGTTTCACTAGTCGAGAAAAAGGACAGTAAATTGTGAAGATCAAACAGTAGGGCGCACGGGCAAAAAAAGCTGAAGTTGTGATGATGAAGACAGCGCAGGATGAGATGGGGGATAATTGAACAGTTGATGGAGTGCTCATTACATCTGGCTTCATGAAAAGCTTAAGAGGGCCGTATAAGTCTACACCTGGGCTGAATCTTGAAGTGGTGCTAAACAAGGCCCACGAACATCATTGTGTTATGGGCCATTGTAGTACTATTCGTGCACAACCCAGCTCTTCAAGTCAAAATCAAGATAGCAGCAATTCTTCGAGCCAAGCCCAAATTGAAATGATGAAACTAGGGGTGCAACTCGGGCTGGCTCAACCCGAGCCCAGCCCGAGTTTTTTTAAGGTTTGGGCAACTATATCTTGTTATATGGACGGGCCTGGGCAGATTTTTGATGCCCGAATTGTAATTTGGGCTGGGCTTGGGCAGAACCAATGGCCAACCCGAGCAACCCGAACCCGAATTGAATTTAATATATTATATAAATTATATAATATATATATAAATTAAGTAAAAGAGTTAGTCTTAATTTTTATTTTTTATTTTTTATTTTGGTTAGTCTTCCACCATTAGATTAGCATCTTTTATGTCTACCCTTAGATTAAATCTAAGGAAACCCTATCTATCTACCTTATCTCTCTCTCACAGACTCATTTGATTTTTTGTTCAACGCTGAAGAACTTTGAAGAACGGCGGAGGCGAAACCCTATCGTCCCCGATCTCCACCTTCATTCACTTCCTCCTTCTTCAGCCCTGGTAGATCCATCTTGGGTAAGCTTCCTCCTTCTTTGTTCTCGCATCAGGAATATGTAACTGATTTATATATAAATATATATATCTTTTGGTTGAGAGGCGTGGGTTTATTTTTTGGTTGGCCTTTTATCTTTTGGGTTTTGTTAGTCTGCTCTAATGGATGTATTGTTTTGCTCTTGCTGGTTATTGATTAATAGAAACCTCTAATTAAAGGGAAGTTGGGTTCACTGTGCTTCACTTATATTTAATTGAACTTTGAATTATTCTGGTTGCTTCGAAATTATTTTGTAATCCTCTAATTAAAGGGAAAAAAAGAAGGTTATGGCTACATCTTTAGGGTTCTGGACTGAGCTTTGTAATTTTTTTTGTTTTTTATATTTTTTGTAGATGGGGGGAGAAGACATGATGTTTTTACTTTGTTCAATCTTGTTACCTTCTTGTTGCTTGTTAAAGCACAACAAAGCTTTCTTTCTAGAATCCAGTATTTCTCTCCATGCCACGAGGTAAGAATAATTTAATATTTCATTTGACTTGTCATATTTTATTGGAGTTATTTGTAATTATGTTCTTTTTTTTTTTTTTTTTAGGACATGATTGCATTGAGATGAAGATGTGAAGATCAAAATATGAAATTTCTGTTGGATTGAAGTTTCTGCTGGATTGTGACTTGGATCACTTCTTTTTATTTTGTTGTTTTCAGTTTATGTATGAAATAATGAACCACTGTTGTTTTCAGTTTATGTTTGGCATTTGAGATTATGTTGAAGTTTGTATTGAAGTTTGTTGTGTAGAAGTTTTATATGTACTAGTGTTTGTGGTTGTTTGATTTATGCACCAGATGTTGAAGTTTGATGTTGAAGTTTGTTGTTTAATTCTTTGTTAATTCTCAATTGTCTGGTGGACAGCAGAGAGTTTCATTTGGTGACCACAAAATAACTTTGAATGATTAATTACAGGTTTTAAAACAGGTTTCTCAATTCTACCTACAGGTTTCAAAACAATTCTACCTACAGGCTTCTCAAAACAATTCTACCTACAGGTTTCTCATTTGGTGACCAGAAAATAACTTTGAATAATTCTCAATTCTTTGTTAATTCTCAATTCTACCTACAGGTTTCTGGACTCAAGCAATTCGGGTAATTCGGGCTAACCCGAGTTCAAAATACAAAGCTTGGGCCGGGCTTGGGCAAAAATGCTCGGGTTCATGGTCGGGCTTGGACACTGCCAAATACAATTCAGGTCGAGCTTGGGCAGACCCCCAACCCGACCGAACCCACCCGAGTTGCACTCCTAGATGAAACAGTCAAGTAAGAGGGGCTCTCTGCTGGCAGCACCAAACATAAAATAGAGAAGAAAAGCTACTAGAAAGGAAAAAGCAAAAGGGGTTCTAGGACACTCTCTCAACAAGAAGGGTAGCCTCCAGATTGGGAAAAATAGGGAAGGTATGGTGATGAATTTGAAGAAAGGGGTTGTTTTCAGGTCAACAACAGCAGCAATTTCACTCTCTATGGCTAGTGAATCAAGCAGACGATGCAGGCTACTTAATGAAGCTCAAGCAAATTTGCAGTTTAGTCGGGTAGTGGGCCTTGACTGTAATGGCAAGGAGGAAGAGGTTATAAGCAAACTTATGGAGCTGGAAGAAAGAGATATTGAAAAGCTGAAGGAGACGGGGGGCAATGCTAGTTAAATAGCGCCCCTAGGAGGTTTAAGGTGTTTTTATTTATTATAATGAAGCTACTATCTTGGAATATGAGGGGCTTGGGAAGGCTAGTTAAAAGAAGAAGAATCAAGAAGGTGCTTTTTGATAATAAGGTGGACATGGTGTTCCTGCAGGAGACCAAGAAATCTGACATCAATACAGAGGTAGTTAGGTCTATTTGGGCAGGAGAGATGATGGATTTCATGTCCGTGGATTCAGATGGAGCTGCTGGAGGTTTACTTTGTGTGTGGAATCCAGAAATGTTTCAAATTAAGGATTGCCGCTACACAAAAAATTTCATTCTCTTAGCAGGTACGCTTTATCAAAGTTTTGGGTGTGTTTTGGTGAATGTTTATGGTCCTAATGATGTAGTAAAAAGAAGGAAGGTGTGGGATATTTTGTTAAATATTAAATCAGGGTTTCCAAACCCTTGGTGTCTGGGGGGAGATTTTAATGACATCAGGATTATTTCAGAAAGACAGGGTTATTCTAGAAGGGATAGGGGGATGAGGGAGTTTAATGCAATGATTGACCAATTGGAGCTAGTTGATTTACCAATGTTTGGGAGGAAATTCACCTGGAGTAATTCACAGGGAGGGGAGAGGTGGAGTAGGTTAGATTCCTTGTAAACCCAGAGTGGTTGTATAATTTTAATTTCAAAGTATGGGGATTGCCTAGAAGATGGTCAGATCATTGTCCTATTTTTCTGATGGAGGATGAGAGAGATTGGGGCCCTAGACCCTTCAAATTTCTTAATGCATGGATCCTTTACCCAAGTTTCATGAAGATGGTGGAAAAATGCTGGTCAGAATCAATGTTTATTGGCTGGGCTGGATTCAAATGCTTAAAAAAGCTGTAAGCCTTGAAAGCCACATTAAAGTAATGAAATAATGATGGTTTTGGTAATGTTGAGTTCAAACTGAAACAAGTTGAGGAGGAACTTCATGCACTTGATTTACTGGCTAAAAAAAGGGCACTATCATCATCACAGGCTGCTAGAAGAAGGGAAGCTAAAGGTGAAGCATGGAATCTGAGCAAAATGGTGGAGTGGGTGTGGCTCCAGAAATCAAGGCTAAATTGGGCAAGTAAGGGTGATAGAAACACGAAGTTTTTTCACATTATGGCATGTAGTAGAAAGAACAAGAATGCCTTATGCTCTATTTTGATCAATGGTTCGGTTATGGAGAATCCACAAGATGTTAGGGCTGAAGTGAAAAATCATTCTCTCAATCTATTTTCTGATCCTTGGCATATCAAGCCTGGGTTGTTAGGCCCTTTTAAGACCATTAGGGAGGACCAAATTTCAAATTTTCTAGAATCAGAGTTTTCTGAAACTGAAATTTTGGCAACAATTACAAATTGTGAGGGAAATAAGGGTCCTGGTTTAGATGGATTTAATCTCACCATGTTCCAGAAAATGCTGGAGCACCATTAAGGTCGATGTCATCCAATTTATGAATGAATTCCATCAGAATGCTAAGCTGGTTAAAGGTATAAACAGTTCTTTTATAGCTTTGGTCCCAAAGTTTGATAACCCTTCTGGCCTTACAGATTACAGACCAATCAGCCTAGTTGGTTCTTTGTATAAGATTCTTGCAAAGGTGCTTTCCAATAGAATGAAGAAAGTCATGCCTAGAATAATAAGTGATTCGCAGTTTTCTTTCATAGCAGGTAGAAATATTTTGGACGAGATCTTGATTGCAAATGAGATTGTTGATGGATGGAAGAAAGACAGAAAAAAGGGGATACTGCTGAAGCTTGATTTTGAAAAAGCATACGATTCAGTAAATTGGGGATTTCTATTCTCAATGCTATCTGATTTTGGTTTTGGTCCTAAGTGGGTGCGGTGGATACAAGAATGTGTGACCTCAACAAGGATCTCTATTTTGGTGAATGGTTCCCCAACTTCTAAGTTCAAACCACAAAGAGGGCTCAGGCAAGGCGATCCGTTATTACCTTTCTTATTTAACATTGTGGCAGGAGGCCTTAATATATTGTTGGAGAGAGCAAAACAATTGGGTTTGATTAGGGGTGCGTCAGTGGGGTCTAGTGATCTAAAGATCACTCACTTGCAATTTGTTGATGACATCATACTGTTCTGTGAAGCTGAATGGGGTGAGGTTCTAAATATCAAAAGAATGTTAAGATGCTTTGAAATTATGTCGGGCCTGAAAATCAATTATCATAAGAGTGTGGTGTGCGGGGTGGGTATACCTACAATTGTATGTCAAGAGTTTGCTTTCAAATTACATTCTCTTCATCAAAAATTACCTTTGAAATATTTGAGGATGCCCTTGGCAGCCAGTCCTGGTAGAAAAAAGACTTGGCAGCCTATGCTTAAGAAGTTTAAAATGAAATTGGCCTATTGGAAAAGAAGGTACCTTTCTTTCACAAGTAGGCTAACTCTTATAAAAGCTGTTTTGTCTAGCTTACCTGCCTATTACCTCTCTTTGTTTAAGATACCAGTAGGGGTAGCCAAGGAGATCAATAAAATCCAATCAACTTTTATGTGGGGTGGTTCGGACCTTAGAAGGAAAGTTCATTCACTACAACATTTTTTTAGTTTAGTGACATTTGAAAGTGCCACAAAACTATTCTTCTAATGACATTTTTTGGTCTTGTGGCATTTTGAACAAGTGCCACTTCTATCGGTGCCACGGTAGATAGGAGTGCCACGGTAGATACTTGCAAGTGCCACTGCACCATCATGGCTAAAAACTTTCAATGACATTTTAATGTCATGGTAGATATTATTTGTGGCACTATCAAGCGCCATTAAAAAAAGAGTTAGTGACACTTATAAGTGTCATTACACCATCAAGACTAAAACCTTTCAGTGACACTTTAATGTCATGGTAGGCACTATTCGTGACGCTATCAAGTGCCATTCGTGACGATAATTCGTTGTAGAACAAATTGATCCGCTATTGCGGAGACTTGAACCGCCAACCTTCCGCACCATAAACCTTATACACCACACTCTTCCCACTACACCTCCATAGCACCACATGATTATATATGCAACATATATTATTTATATAGTACATACATCCATATTAATATAAAACTATAAACATATAGTAAAACATAATTATTTTATTAAACATAATTTATGTAAATTAAACTATTTACTAGTAAAATAAAAAAAGACCACTTTTGGCGGCTAAAAATATTTTGGTCGCCAATTCATACAAA